AGAGGCACGCGCAAGATTTTGGCTTTAGTGCCTGGCAACAGAAGCTGTCGCCTGGCGCTATCGTCAAAACGTTGGCGCTAATCATTTTTCGCTGACGCTAGTTCCTACATGCCTCAGCAGCTTTCTGTTCTCGATAAAATTTTCTAGTTTCGCGCAGCATTATTTCGATCCTAGTTGTGAAGGATATTTCTCAAATTTCCTACGTGTAAAAATCCTATGTTTTAACTCATTACGGATGGTCTTTCCAATGAGATCTTTTTTATGCATTTGACAATAATGTTAATCAAAATTACGCACATGAAATACTTAGAACTTTTCGAGTCTCATCCACTCATTCTAAATCATTGCCGAAATAAATTTCGGGAATTAAAATAGAAACCCTCCCCAGTGGAGTCGCCAAAAACTGTAAGGAATATTTCAAGCATTATCCCTAGCTCGAACCCCACTGTGATCATACACTAAAGTACGGTGGCGTCCAAAGTGAAAGAAAATAGAGCAAAAGAGTCGCCAACAAGTTTTAAAACTTGTAAACCGTTCACAGGGTGAAGGTTACACCCCTTAATAATCCAAGAGATCGTTAATTCTAAAAGGTCTTGAACCATGACTGGTAGTTCGGGGATGAAGGTACAAATCCAACCTTAAAGAGATTAAACCTGCCTTAATAATAGGCCTCTACTTTATTCTGATCGTATTCATGTGCGCTTTCTGACTAACATACAATCAATAGATTTACCCTAAACCTGTTTATCTATGTTGGTTGAATTTTAATGCACAAATAAACCTATTATTGGCGATCACTTGAATTATAATCATATTAACCCTATTCAAGATTATTAATTATCTTATTAAGCGTGATTACAAGCACCAATTCCCTTTAAACATGCATAAAAGGTGTGATCAAGCACTAACAATAAAAATCAAGCAACATAATAAATTATCATAATAAACATAATCATAATATTCATGTTAAAGCATAATAATAGCAAGATCCTAGGCATGATACTAACAAGATTAATAACAAACCCTAGCATTCACTAAACAATAAAGATCAAAGCTTTAACCCTAACATGATACTAACATGCTATTAGGGAAGAAAATAGGAAGCATCGTAGGAAACACAATTGTCATATTTGATATTAGAAATTATAGTTGTTACCCTAAATATGATACTAGGATGATCAAAACACCCTAACATGACACTAGGAATTATAATAACAACCTAGACATGATTTCTATATCATAATAACAATGCAAACAATTAAAGAACTTACTTGGATGCCTCGTATCTCTTTCTAATAACAAAATACACGTTAGTAACTTCAAGGAAAATAATAAAACCAACAATTAAATTAAATAATTGAAATAAAGATTTGGGATCAAACCCTCAGAAATTAAAACCTTTCACGTCAAGGGCGAAGGCAACTTCAAATTTGGCTAGGTGTTTCTAAGTCTTGTGAGTGCAGAATTGTGTTTTTAGAAGGGCTAGTTTAGAAAAGAGAGAGAGAGAGAGAGAGAGAGAGTAATCAAGAGATTCTTGATGAGAATTGGTGAATGAAAACGGAGTTTTTAGGAGGCTATTTATAAAGAAAGTCAGCCAAAAAGATAAAAAATTGAAACAGAGTTCTGACGCGTAAAACGAGGTCAGCGCCAGACACTAACGCTAGCGCCAGGCGCTAACGCTAGCGCCAGGCGCTAACGCTAGCGCCAGGCGCTAACGCTAGCGCCAGGCGCTAACGCTAGCGCCAGGCGCCTAGCTTAGCGTCAGGCGCTAATGGCTGCGTTTGGCGCTAACTTAATTATTGGCGCGTTTTCTTAGAATCAGATAGAAATTGCCGTACAGGAGGATAAAATCGTATTTTCCTCAAAAACATTCTTTTATTCTGATTAAAACTCTAAAAAGTCAACAAAAGTCAATTTATCAATGCTAATTGAATTAGGAATGGAAAGAACCTTTTAGAAGAATCTAGAAGACTAAAACCATTCATAATTGTATTAGGAATGATAAATCCATATTAGGCCCTCCTCTAGATCATTAGGCCGCATATAAGGCTCAAACCGGGTCCAGTTTAGTAATTTGGCCATAACTTCCTCAATATTCATCAGAATTGGGCTTATAATATATCATTGGAAAGCTCTTTTCAAGCCCTATCCAACTACACTATTATTGGACCCATATCATGGACCAACAAAACTGGATTGACTGTTTTATTAAAATAGTTTTTTAAAAACAGAGAGAAGAGAAAAGAAATTAAAACTATCCGCAACACTAAACTTTCCACACTTTCACTTCATTCGATTATGATTCGACGTGAAAGGTACTCATCACTGGGTTTGGTTTTGGGGAGACAAAAATGGGTGCCTACAGGGGTAAGAACATCCTAACTACCTCCAGTTCTTCTTTTCGTCCGTGTTAGGATGCTAGGAAGGTCCTCCTTTCTAGGTTCTCACGGACGTATCATTGCGTCCGTGTTGGCATGATGGAAGGGATCTCCTTCATAGCTAGATACAGACACTAATGTATTATCTTGCTTTTTTTTTCGCTAACTTTCGCCTCTCTTCAGCTGTCGACTCCGACCCCAAGGTCCAAGAGAAAGCAGTCGTCCCCTGCTTCCAATATGGACAAGGATGGGAAGGCGTCCAAGCAAAGGAAGACGATCGCCTCTAAGACCACTTCCACTACTGCGGCAAAGACTACGTCGCGGACTGTCTCCAAGCGGTCTAAAGGAGAACAACCCCGGCTGGGTGATAGCGGGTCCTCAAAGTCCATGGATCCGACCGTCACCCCGGTCCATGATAGGTCCAAGAGATCGGACAGTAGGGGTAAGTCGACCCCGGCAAAACCGATCGGGACAGAAGTGACTCCGCCCGTACAAAGAGTCTAAGAATCTGTTTGGCTTGAAGCCTTTCAGTCGGTCGGCGACCAGCTTGGCCGCACGGGTGAGGAGAGTGACGAGCCTGCGCCGCCTCCGTCATTCACCTTCAATCCCCTTAACGCTTCGAGCTTCTCTGACGGTCAGTTTGAGTAACTTTGCATATTTTGTTTTGTTTTTTTATATGCCCAATTGAGCTTAAACTAAACTTTTGCGCCCGCATGCAGATATTGCTGAGGAGCTACACATGAAGCTGCCCGGCCAATCCCTTATTGGCGCGGACAGGAAGGCCATGAGGGAGGCCATGGCCAGGGCTGTCCCTGCTGAGCAGCGAGACAAGATGCGGGGGATTCATGATGGCTTCCTTGGCCAAATGATCAATTGAAGTGCTGAGGTAATTTTTCTTTCAACTTTCACACTTAGTTAATTTTTCACTCTCATTTTGATAACATGTTTTTCCTGTACGCAGCTCTTCCTGCGATTGAATGCCTTCCTTGAATGGAAGGACAAGGAGAACGCAAAGCTGAAGCATGCCTGGGATCAGATTCAGAAAACCCAAGATGCCATAACTGGGGAAACGGCCGTCCAGCGCCGATACTTTGAAACCCAAATCAACGCGCTGTCCAACAACGTAGCGCGGCAAGCTGAAGATTTGGTGAAGCTGGGCCAAGCCCTGGTGCAAGAGTCCGTGGCTAGGGACGCCATGAGATAGGAGAGGGATCAAGCCCTCCTGGACGGCCAGCGCTGGAAAGAAGGGTTTGAGGCCTTCGAAAAGCTTAAGAGTGAGGTGGCCTTAGCCCAAAAACACTTGAAGGAGGCCATGGACAAGGCGGACGTTCTTAAGGCCGAGGTGGAAACTTTAAAGAAGTCCGTTGAGGACTTAACTCTACAGATGAAAAAACCTCGGGCCCTAGTGCAGACGAGGTCATCCGCATTGAATCGAATGCTGAGGATAGGCTGAAGAGCCACTTCTTTAAGGCGTTCGAGCTCATGGTGGACGAGGGCGAGGCGATCTTTTATCAAGAGTACTTCACTAAGCGCCTCAACTTTGTCTGCCTCAAGGAAGAGGCTAAGAAGGCCGGGCAGCCTTCTCCTAAGCTGGACGTCACACCAACTACCTCAGAGGATGAGGAAAATGCAGAAGTGGCGGCCGGCAATGATGGCGAGGAGGAGAGCAAGGAGACGCCTGCTGAGGACGCGTCCCTTCCCGCCTCTTAAGAGCCCGTCCAAGGCCAAGGTCCAGCTTCTTAGAGCCCCAGCCGCCCCATGATATCAGCTCTTTGTTCTACCTTTTTTTTTTACCAATTTTTATTTTCCTTATTTGCCGCCTATTAGAGCGGTTTTTGTAAGACATTTTTCCGCCATTCGAGAGGTCTTTTATTAATTCAATCTCTAGTTTTCATTTATTTCATACTTAGAAAGTTTTACATACTTTTAGCATGTTTTTACATTTTCGTACGCATGCTTTTTTGCACGTTTTTACGTTTTCGTACAATGGGGGGGGGGGTATGCCCCTTTTTCGGCGTTCGCCTACTCCATATTTTGAATGGTTTGATTGACTTGGTAGAGTATATACCTTGAGGGGTATTACTACTAGCAAGTTAATCAAATCATAGTAATGATTGCCCTTGTACTAGGTGATACGCCGAATCAACATATTATTCGGCCGTTTGATTGGCTTTGCGCGAGTTGTCCGTTGAAACTATCGCTCGAAAATGCTCAAAAAATTTCAAGTATTATCTTAACCTAAAATTTCTAAGTTTGGCGAGGCTAGAATGCCTAGGTATGCCCTTTGCCCAATTAGAGGGGTTACATAGGATACTTTACCTTTGCCGTCCGTCTAAATGAGGAACGGACGTATAACAGTGATTTAAGGTCAAGTCATTCATCATTTTTTTTACGACCGGGTTGCTGTGTTGCAAGCAACCTAGTAACAAGTTTCACGCGGCGTTTCTTCTTAGACTATGAAAGTGAAAATAAGCATAAGTAGAATGGAAAATAATATAACAATGTTTGACTTTTCATTAATTTGTCAAAATTACATTGTTGTGGTCGTACGACTTTAATTACATTGCTCGGTCAACAGACCTAGCTGTATATACAGCTTTTGGCTAAGTACTAAGAAAAGACTTAAACATAATATTTCTTCAGGTTGTCAGAGTTCCATGTACGCGGAATCAGACGGCCGTTCATGGCCTTGAGACGGTAAGTACCATCTCGGACTTCTTCACTGATTCGATACGACCCTTCCCAGTTTGGGGTCAGCTTTCCATCTTCATTTGCCCGACCCACAACCTCCATTTTCCTTAGGACCAGATCTCCCATTTTTAGCGGACGCTTTAACACTCGGCGATTGTATGCCCTTGTCATCCTTAGGCGATAAATTTTGTGCCTAAGCGTCGCATTGCTCCTAGCTTCTGGAAGGAAGTCTAGGGCAGTCCTCATGGCCTCCCAATTGGCCGCTTCATCATATAACATCACTCTAAGAGTGGGCTCATACATCTCAATTGGGAGAACAACCTCAACGCTGTATACCAAAAAGAATGGAGTTTTCCCTATGGAGCTCTTGACCGTTGTTCGTATGGACCACAATACATTGACCAACTCATCAGCCCATAGGCCGCCTACCTTTTCAAGCTTACGCTTGATACCATTGGAGATCAACTTATTGTGTGCTTCTACCTGGCCATTGTCTTGTGGCCGGCCAACCGAAGCAAAGCAATGAGCTATGCCCTGGTCTTCCAACCATTCCTTGAGTTAAGGCGTTCCAACTGGGGTCCATTGTCGAACACCATAGACTGAGGAACGCCAAAATGTGTAATGATACTCTTCCATATGAAGGCTTAAACATCCGTCCACTTGATGCCCCGAACAGCCTTGGCCTCCACCCATTTTGTGAAGTAGTCTACTGATACAAACACATAACGCCTTTGACCAGATGCTGGCGTGTACGGTCCTAAGATATCCATCCCCCATTTGGCAAAGGGGAGCGGACTTTTTATGGTCGACAAACTGAAGCAGGGCGATGGATCAAGGTTGCAAATATCTGGCACTTGTCACATTTTTTCACCATTTTCATGGCGTCCGACTTTAAGATCGGCCAGTAGTATCCCAGATGGGCAACCTTTTCAGCCAAGGCTCGCCCTCCAATATGAGAGCCACACTGCCCCTGGTGGAGGTCGTTAAGGACATCATGCCCCTTCTCGGGGGTAACAAAGTTCATGTACAGCTTCACAAATGCCTTTTTAAGCAACTCCCCCTGCTTCATTTCAAACCAGGCCGCTCTCTTCTTCATCAGCCATCTCTCTTTAGGATCGGCCGAAAGTAATCCATCCCTTAAATACGAAATGATCTCGTCCATCCAAGTGGAGCTTTTATCAATGATTTGTATTGGCTCGGCATCAATACTCCTTCTTTCTTTTACCTCCCAAAGTACTAATCTGGGAGTATCACATGATGCTGAGGATGCTAACTTAGAGAGGGAGTCCGCCTGATGGTTGGACGAACGAGGAGCTTGCTGTAGAGTAAAATGATCTAGGCCCTTGGCCTCCTCTTTGACAATCTTCAAATATTTCATCATAGCCGGCTCCCTTGCCTCAAAATCTCCATTTACCTGGCCGACTACAAGCAGGGACTCCGAGCTTACATCCACTTTTTTCGCCTCTGCCACCTTACACATTATAAGGCCAGCCAGGAGAGCTTCATACTCAACCTCGTTATTAGAAGCTTGGTACTGAAATCTCAAAGCATATTCAAACTTATTCCCCTCGGGCGATTGAAAAATGACTCCAGCACCACATCCGGTTGCTGTTGCACTGCCATCAAAAAATACCTTCCAGGTCTGATCTCTGGCCGGCTGAAGATTAGGCCGAGTCATCTCAGCTAAGAAATCAGTAAAGGATTGTCCCTTGATTGCTTTTCTTGGCTCAAACGTAATGTCAAAGCCACTCATTATCAAGGCCCACTTGAGCATACGACCATTGGCCTCTAAGGTTGTAAATGGCTTCTTTAGAGGTTGGTCTGTGTAGACTACAATTGAATATGCCAAGAAGTACGACCGCAACTTTTTTGATGCCATGTAAAATGCTAAGCCAAATTTTTCAATAAGGGGTACCTCAGCTCGGTGTTGTGAAGTAAATGGCTGATTAAAAAAGACTGGGACCTGGTGGCTATCCCTTTCAGCAAGTAGGACGACACTTAGAGAGTGTTCAGAGATGGCGAGATAGATAATTAGCTTCTCATTCTTGAGTGGACTGACGAGCTGAGGAAACGTATGCAGATGGCTTTTTAGCTGTACGAGTGCTTCCTCGGCCTCCTCTGTCCATTCGAACATGGCTTTCTTCTTGATGGTTTGAAAGAAATAACGACACTTATCCCCTGACCTTGACAAAAATCTATCAAGTGCTGCTAAACAGCCGGTCAGTCTTTGTACTTCCTTAATCGTCCTTGGTGACTTCATGTCCAGGACAACTTGAATCTTTTCAAGGTTGGCCTCAATTCCACGTTGATCAATCAAAAATCCGAGAAATTTACCGGACTCAACACCAAAGATAAATTTCTTTGGATTTAACATTATCTTATGCCGCCTGAGTTCGCTAAAAGTTTCTCGCAGATTCTTCAGGTGGTCCACCAGCTCTTTTGACTTGACAATCATGTCATCGATGTATGCCTCCATATTCCGGCCAGTTGATCTCTGAAGACTGTATTAACAAGTCGTTGAAAGGTAGCAGGGGCATTCTTGAGGCTGAATGGCATAACTTTGTAACATTACAACCCCTGCTTAGTTACGAACGTTGTTTTCTCTTGATCTTCTTCCTATAAGGGAATTTGATAGAATCCGGAGTATGCGTCCATGAAACTCATCAGGGCATGACCGGCCGTTAAATCAACCAGACGGTCGATTTTGGGCAAGGGAAAGCTATCCTTAGGGCATGCCTTGTTCAGATCGGTGTAATCCACACATATTCTCCAAGTTCCATTCGGCTTCTTCACGAGAACTACATTAGTTACCCAGTCTGGGTAATAACATTGCCGAATGAAACTGGCGTCCAACAGCTTTTTTACCTCAGCTGCGGCCGCCTTATTCCTTTCTTCTCCATGATTTCTTTTCTTCTAGCGGACAGGTTTAACGGCTGGGTTCATAGCTAGCTTGTGCACGACCAGGTCAGGACTTATTCCTGGTATCTCACCAACGTCGAATGCAAATACATCTTTGAATTCTCTCAGCAGCTGGACTAACTCATCCCCAATCATATCGAAAGATATAGTGCCTACCCTGACCGTCCGACCGGGTTGATCGGGGTCAAGCACTATATCTTGGCGACTGCCAGCCGGTTGGGGCCTTAACTCTTCTGGCCGACCGACAGTCATTAGCTGCTATGCTTGCTCTATCTTGGCCGCCTTACGCTTCTAGACGACCTGGTATGCTGGGAGTGAGGTTCCTTCTTCTTTTGACTCGGACGCTTTTGGTCCGCGTGCTGTAGGCTTAACGGCCAATTGATTACATTCCTTAGCCATTTTCTGACTCCCTTGGATTGTCCCAATTTTTTCGTCCGTCCTCTCGAACTTTAGCAGCATTAGATAAGGTACAATGACTGCTTTGGCTGCATTCAGTGTAGGACGGCCAAGTATGACATTATATCCAGTCAGCTCTTTTACAACTAGGAAGCAGACAACCATATCTTTTCCTTCCCCTTTTTGTCCAAAGCGGACGGGTAGGTCTATCCGCCCAACCGGGTGGATAAAATTCCCCCAAAATCCTACCAACGGGTGAGTGATGTCCTGAAGAGCATCCTATAGGAAGCTTAGATTCTTCAAGGCGGCCAGGCTGATGATGTTAGCCGAGCTACCCGTATCAATCAATATTCGTCCGACCTTCAAATTGGCTATCTTCATAATGAATACCATGGGATCATTGTGCAGGGCTTTGATCTCCCCCCGGTCAGCCTCGTTGATGATTACTTTGGGAAAGGGTTCGGCCTTTACTGTATCCTCTTGCATCACCTTTCCTAAGTTCCAGGCGTCCTGCTTGATCCCTTTCATGGTTGGGCCGCCTAAGGCGAAATCTCCTGATATTACGGCCACAAAGCCTGAATTAGTGCTATTCCCATCATCTTCCTTGTCTTTGTTCTTATCATTTTTCTGTCTTTTCTCGGACGTGTTGTCTGTCCATGTGTAAGTGAATTTGGACTTCATCACATAAGAGTTTAGCATGCCCTTCTCGGCTAGCTTGTCCAATAATCTCTTCAAATTGATGCAATCGTTCATATCATGTCCCACGTCCTTGTGGTAATGACAATACTTGTTCTAGCTCCTATACTGAGCCGGTTCTCTCAGTGGCTGTGGCTTTTCAAACTCAAACTTATCCTTGATTTCCATCAAGATGGAGTAATAGTCCTTGTTGAACTCATACTGGGGTTCGTACGTCTTGACTTTATTGGACTTCTGCGGCTGGCCATCGGCCACCCAAACTTCTTTTCTCTTTTTTTGTTCTTTCTTTTGGCCGGCCGAGTCTTGCTGAGAAGATTGTTTCTTCTCAGCCCCCTTGGCCGGCGCTTCTGATTTTGTGAGCGAACAAAAGTCCGCCGCTTCAATATAAGCTTCGGCTTCTCGCAAAACACCTGCGTATGTCCGAATCTTTTTACTTACCAGGTCAAATTTAAAACCATTATGCATTAATCCCCAGAGAAATTCAGAGTAAGCCATTTCATCCGGCAAATTATGAATTTGGGCTTTTTCTTGGTTAAATCGCTGGACGTACGACCGTAGGCCCTCATTCTTCCCTTGAATAATTGTTGCCAAATTAAGGCTGGTCTTTCGAGGTGGTATGTTGTATGAAAAATTCCCCACAAACAGCAAACTAAGAGTAATAAAGCAATTGATACATCCGGCCGGGAGGCTATTGAACCAATCTTGTGCCACACCCTTCAAAGTGGTTGGAAAGAATTTGCACCAAGTAGCATCATCTACACTTTGCAAGTACATCAGGTTCCTGTACAAGGTGATGTGAACTTCTGGGTTGCTCGTGCCATCATAAGCTCCCACGAGTACACTCTTCACCTTCGGCGGCTGAGGGATAGTTAAAATATCTTGCGAAAACGGAGGCGGCTTATCTTCTAGGGTCAGCAGGCGCATCTGCCAGTCAATTGGGTTTGTCTGCGCGAACGGTCCAGCCAGGTAGGGAGCCTGACCGTTCGTCTTTCGTATGGCCCATATTGTCCGAAGACTTGGGGATTCGGCTGCATCAAGCCATTGAAACCCTGGGGAGGCTGATATTGAAGTGATTGGACTGGAATAGGAGTTGGGGTGCGGACAACTTGGATAGAAGTTGGAGTGCGGACAGCTTGACTTCTGCTAGAGATGGCCGTGTTGGTATGCTGGGAGTGAGAATGATTTGAAAAATCATCCGGCATAGTTGGGGTTGAGGCCGTGTCCGAGTAAGCGACACGTTCCCACTACTTATGCCGTAGGTAATCCCTTGCGTCCTTCCATCGCCTAGACGGCTTAGGCTCTTCTCTTCGAGGCTGCCTACTCCTCCCCCCAGTCGACTGTGTTTTCGCCAACAGATCAGAAAAATTTGTCCGCGGTACCCTTGGGGACCTTCCAGTCGGCCTACAAAATGGGGTGTTCCTAGCGTCCGTTGCATTAGCCGCTTTGCTTTGTGCTTTTTTTGGAGCCCTATCCCCCTTTCTCCTGGGCGAATTCCTAGAGGTAGAGGCTCTGTTGGTCTCAAACTCCTTCCATAGCTTGTTGAGTGCGGCCTTCAGATAGGTTGCGGTAACAGGAGGGTCATCAGCTTCTTGAAATGTGGCAAGCAGAGGATCGCTGGTATGGATTATAGGGATTATATCCTCTACATGACCGTCCTCGCCTGGACGAGGGCCGAGATTAGGTGTCTGACCATCTATTTCCATAACGGACGAGTATCCCCACAGACGGCGCCAAATGTTTCGGGTGTTTTTTGGATTTCCTCGGATATTGGTCACGCTCTTTTGGCAACGAGACTGAGACACCTGCAAAATAACGAATATTCCGTTTGTCGGAATATTCGCCTCCGACGATCAAGTCAGTAATCGAAAACGGAAAAGGCTAGAGAGAGAAAGTAGAGAGAAGTTGGAGCTATTAATGCTCTTTTTCTTGTAATGTCTTAATCCACCCCTCCCATTATAAATGATTAGGGTATTTATAGGGGTAGAGCTTGTGTTGATTTTAGGGTTTGTACCCTAAAATTGCGTGACGTGATTGGTTGAGCAATCGGAGAACGCCACGTGTTATTTTAGGGGCGCCGCTTTGCGGCTTTCAATGATATATCTCGGGGAAAGGGGCAGGTTTCAGTCTTGAAGTCTGTCTTCGCTTAGAAGATAGAGTAAGGCTATTGGTAGATTATTTCTCTTTTAGAATGGATTTTGGCCCTGATGTAATTAGGCCTCTTTTGCGTGCTGATTTCAAGGGTTATATAAGCCCTAAACACGTGGCATCTTCCTGTAGTGACACGTGTCACCCTCTCGTTGGGCCACGTGTCGCTATAGGATTGGCCCGAGCTTTTGAGTGCTTTTAAGCTGGATGTGTGGCATCTTCCCATAGTGACACGTGTCACCCTCTGACTGGGACACATGTCTCCACGGGAATGGTCCACGCGTACGGGGTATGTTTACCCTCAACATCAGCGTCTGGCGCTAACTCCGTTTTTTCACGTCAGAACTCTAGTTCGATTTTCTATCTTTTTGGCTGATTTTCTCTATAAATAGCCTCTTAGAAACTCCATTTTCAATGACGAATTCTCATCTACAATCATCAATTCCTTATTTCTCTAATTCTTTTCTCTCTCTTTTCTCTAAACCAATCCCTTTTTACAAAATTCCGCACTCATAAGACCTAGATACACCTAGTATAATTCGAAGTGGCCTTCGCCCTAGACGTGAAAGGTTTTAATTTCTGAGGGTTTGGTCCCAAATCTTTATTTCAATTATTTAATTTAATTGTTTTGATTATTATTTTCCTTGAAGTTAGTAACGTGTGTATTTTGTTATTAGAAAGTGATACGAGGCATCCAAGTAAGTGCTTTAATTGATTTATTGATTTTATGATATAAAAATCATGCTTAGATTGTTATTTTGATTCCTAGTATCATGTTTAGGATGTTCCTAGTATCATGTTAGGATGCTTTCTTTAGTATGATATTTAGGGTGATTTGCTTATATCAATCATGATTCCTGCGATGCCTTTTATTCTCTTCCTAATATCATGTTAGTATCATGTTAGGGTTAAATATTTGATCTTTAATGTTTAGTGACATGCTAGGGTTTCTTATTAATCTTGTTAGTATCATGCCTAGGATCTTGCTATTATTATTATGATTTAACATGATTATGTTAATTATGATTAATCTTATTATTTTGATTATGATTATAATTGTTATAATTTATGATCACGATTATTATAATTATTATTATTATGATT